GATTCTGCATGATACATATATGTTGGCTTAAGATTTATCAACTATCTATTATTATATAAATTATTATTATTTAAATAAAAGTCGAATCGAAAGCAAATGACTGCAGCAACCAAAAAATGTGCCGAATAAAATAAAATATTTTATTGCTATGTACTTAAAAAAAATTATAAAACAAAACCCTTTTACATCTTTAATCAATCTTAATCCCATGTTATGTTTTCTTATTGTCAATATATAAACAATATAAATGAAAATAATACAAATTATATAAAATAAATCATGTCTTAATCTAAAATTAAATCAACAATTTTTAGAGAATTTTTACTTTTTGTGAACATTTTCCAGCTACAAATAAAAGCTGAAAACATTTTAAAAATATTTTAAAGTTATTTTACATCAAATCTGAAGAGATTTTCTAGTTTTGTAATTCAATTTAATTTGTCATAAAATTTGTATATGATTTACAAATTCATATAAAAATTTTATGACAAATTAAATTGAATTACAAAACTAGGAAAGCTCTTCAGAGTGCAGATATGCCCCACTTTAAAAATAAACCCAGGAGCAATTCAATGTGTCTCCAACTCCATTGCCAGCTGTTTATTTATGTGTGTCGCCTGCAACACGAAATGTTGCTGAGATCGGCAAATGCTGTGAATTGTGTGCGATGCGACAATTGCAACTGCAACTACTGCGGCTACCTTTTTGGGCGCACTTATGCAACTGTACATTGGCCATAATAGGGCATAATTATATATACATATATATAAATATACATATGTGTGGAGCCGACGCCCGAAATCTGTTGCGATTGTTGATCAATGGAAAGCGCCAAGACAGGAAGCGCGACTGAGTGACTGATGACAAAAGGAAGTTTGCAGAGTGCAGAGATATCAATTTGCCAATTGGCAAGCGTAAAGACAACAAATACTAACAAATATATGGAGCTAAGTGAAAGATATCCGCAAGCAGGCAAAGTTCAGCAACATTTGTGCGGCGCCTTTAAATAAATCAGTTGCAAAGACTGGCTGAGGTGGGGATTAGGGATTTACAAAGAATAGCCGCCTTTGTTGGCTGTCGAGTTGTTGTTGTTGCTGTTGTTGTTGCTGCAACACCCACATGCAAGAGCAAACGCTGGCAGCTGGAGTGCAGCTATTTTTAATTAAATGCAAAATATGCGCCCGCAGCATGTTGCCAGCCAAAGCTGCTGCTGCTGCTGTTCGCTAGCAACATGCTGCGAGCTTAAATGTTGCCGATGTCGACGCATTGCCTCAAATGTTGCCCGCGCTCAGTTGGACACAAAACGCCGGCGCGTCAAGTTGAGCGAAGGGCGCGCGCGCGATTCCCTTGCATGATGTGGCATTTAAAAATAAAAATATAACGAAATAAAAATAAGAGAAAATAAAATAGAAAGAAGCAACAACCAAAATACAAAATGAGCAAGAAAATGTGGCACAAAATATTCAAATCAAAGTCGCAGAAGCAGCAGCAACAGCAGCAATTGAGTAAAATCAATAAGCGTCACAGTCGCGGCATCTACGAGGAGTATCAGCAATTAAACGAGCTGCTCAATGGTGAAAAATCGCAGGCCGGGCGCTTTTCCAGTGAAAATGAAAATGAAAACGATAACGAAAATGGCAAAGCCAACGGCAACGGCAGCGGCAGCGGCAACATCAATGTATTTGAGCAGCAGCCGCTGCAAAGTTCTTTCAACTCGCTGGCGCTTAGTGAGGCGCAACAGCAGCAGCAACAGTCGCAGCAGCAGCAGCAACAGCAACAACAGTCGCAGCCGCTGTCAACATTTTCGCGCGTACGCAACACCTTCTCACTGCGACGCAACAGCAGCAACAACAACAACAGCAGCAGCAGCAACAAGAAGCAAACGCCCAATGCCAAGTCAAGTGAGTCGGCCACGCCCACGCTTACGCCCACAGCTGCGGGCGCTGGCCAGCTGCAGCATGTTTTGATTATAGTCAATCAGATCGATGTCGCTGCAGCAGCAACAGTTGCCCCAACAGCACCAACAACTACAACAACAACAACTAATACCGCTACTAATTTGCATGCCAACCAAACAACAACAACATCAAGTAAATTTCTAGCAATTGATCAACTATTGTTTGTAGCTGTTAATTGTTTAAATGATATAAATGATTCACTCACTGAGCGATTGTCAATTTGTTAATGGGAAAGTGGCACAGAGTGGAGAATATCGTAGAGACATCAAAGTTGAGAAAGGCTGATGGAACTAGGAATGTTGCATCGAGCCTATGTGATATATACTTTCATCCATTCTAAATTTTTTAAGAGACATATTATATAGGAAGTATAAATAGTCTATGTGCATTACCAGTTATCAAAATTTCAATTATTTTTCAGTCTTAAACTCTTAACATAAACTAACAAACTTAGTTAACAATCTGTCTGTTTACTTTGCACTTAACTTAAGTAACTCTCATTTATATCTAACAATATTTCAATTCATTTTTCATTTATCTTAAGTAACTCTTAATATTGCTTCAATTTTACCATAATTGTTCAGATTTGTGGTTTAATCTCATTGACGGTTCTGTGTCACATTTTGTTGTGGACCTTTCGATGACTTTTTCCAACAGTCTTATCAGCAAGAATACAATAAATGATGTCATCTATATTTACTTTTCGTAAATTGACAAGCAAATTGAAGAGGGAGCCTTTACTTGCAGGAATACTTTCAGTAAAGCTTCTAGGCAATATATATATAGAAATATATGCATATACATAAATAAATGTAAATATACGCATATGTCTAATATATATACTCATATGTATCTACTTTCTAACTGTACTTTCCAGTTCTTATGCTACTTTCAAACTGTCGCAAGTTGAAAGTTCAGCCCATATAAGCACCAAGAATATGTGTCGCAGAACCAACTCGTTGGCCAAGGTCCCAGCTATATAAACATGGGCTATGCATGAAAATGTTGCCTCACTCTAAATTAATGGAGGCGCGTCCGAATTAAATGTCTTATAAGCTTGCCCAATGCTAAGCAATAACAATTGCTGCAAGCTCTCAGATCTCCGATCTCAGGCAGATTTAGCTGGCATAGATTATAATTGTTGGGAAATACTAGGTCTTGGGAAATATAATGGAAATATAAAATCTTATATTATGGTAGTCTATATCATAAGCTGCTAATATATAATCAATTATTGTTATTTAATCATACCTACTAGAACTGCTCAGAGCTACTGATCTTTCCCAGTATTCTACCATATCTTTTTTTCCTCTTAACTTCTACTAAGGCACGCACAATATATTTCCAATTATCCATACCTTTTATTGTTAAATTAGATTTGATCTACTAAACTTACGAACTCTTGAACTTTGAGCATTTCTACAGATGTTTCTTCTTCTTCGTTTGCTTTTGCTATCTTTACGAATCAAAAATCTGCTTAGACTCCAGAGACTTGAGACTTGGGCGCCCTGCTGCTGCTCAGTCAGTTGTGCCTCTTTTTGGCGTTGCATTTTATTTATAAAACTCAAGTGGAACTAGTTGAAAGATATGCATAGAGTATATAATCTTATAATGGCCAGAGTAGCCCTGCAGCCAGTACATGCTGTCTGCATTTGGCAAAGGCGAGTTTGCTAAGCATCATTAACATATGTTTGTATTGTGGTGCTGCTCGAGTGGTGCTGTCATGTGCAACGAATGCCCCACGCCCACACCCACATCCACACTCACACTCACACTCAGTGTGGAGCGGCAGCAGTCCATCCATTGAGGCAGTCACTCACCCACTTCTCATCGGATTACGCATTGATTTGAATTGGAATGAATGCGAACGAGTCGAGCTTCGAGTTCCCTCAGCTCTGAACATGTTGCAGAAATTAATGCGTGTCGCTGATATATGTTATCGTTGGGCCTGTGCGCATTATAATTGGATTCTCTCGGAATTATTATTGTTATATTGGCACCCAGTGTGGCTCCTATGTCATTATTTCCAGTGAAAGACAAAAGAGCGAGTTCCTATTACATCGAAATTCTCAACGGCTCACGCAATGTTTACCTGGCGCCGACTGGCACAGGTGCCACGACTTTATAATTGTCTATATGGGAGTCTAGTAATAATACATGTTCGTTTTTTTTTTTATAAATAACCTATTAAAGACGAGTTTAAGCCTAAGTCCTATTTGTATTATTTTACCACTCATTTAGTATTTATAGGACTGAGTCTTAGTATTTATGGGTCAGATAGCTATGATATGCATCCACAAGATCTGAGCTCTGAATGCTTGGAACTGCATTTGCTGCTTACCAACTGCAGCAATGTCTTTTCTGGGCTGTCCATCTTCTGGGACTGGAGTCCTTTTTATGTGCTCCCATAGAGCACTGTCCTCATTGCTCTTGTTTCCCGAATAGAAATATTGGTAGAAGTATTCATATGAGTATTTATAATCATATCCATTCATCCGGAGAATCTTCGATGTTTCGTGCTAGGCTTTAGTAGCCCTCATTGGAAAAGAGTATGATTATTATTAGTATAAGTATTCCATCCTAATATAAACTAATATTATTTCTTAGCTTGCAGCCCAATATTATATATCCCAATATGAATATAAACATAATTAAGCTTCCACAAAGTTTTGTTAAAAAAGACATAATTCAAATTAAAGCGCATCCCCCAAAATTCAGCTCTATGAACAAACAAAACCAGAGATTCTCTCATTGTTATTTTGGGTTCAAATTCAGTAAATCAAGAAGTCAAGTGAATCGCTATGCCGTGCCGTGGGCTGAAACGCTCGCCAGAGCACCTGTGAGCGCAGTTTGTATCTTCAAGATACAGATATAATAATGTCGCCCACCAAAATCGCAACGAACTCAACAGTTTGGCTCAAACGAGCTGCCAAAGTTGGACATTACAACATTTCATGCGGCAGATAAATAAGAATTTATGGGCCAATCGCACAGTCAGAGGCAGCCAAATGTAGTCACAATCCAAATAATAAGAATAAATTATTACTGAAATGTTTTTATCTATTTTTTTTATTTTGTTATATATAGTTATTTGGTCTTTTTAGTTTTTGTCTATTGTCTTGCCAGTCTGAGAATTCACAAGTTAACTAAATTTTGTTGCTGCTGCTACTGTGACAAATGATGCCGGAAAAGCAATTTGTTTACGAAAAGCAAAGCAACGCCATTCCATGGAAATGCGACTGGCATGCGATATGAAAATATTTGCCATGCAGCAAAGTGCAACTGCAAAGTTTTAGGGTTTCTGGCCCAAGTCTAAGCCGTGCCACTTGGCCAAAGGCCAACAGTCTGCAGACGGACTTGGCATTTTACTTGGCTCTGCCTTTTGATTTTCACTTCACTTTCTTTTCGCGCCTTCAAGTTGACTTTAACATTTGCTGCAAGTTCCCCAATGAAATTGGCAATGATTTAGAGCTGGAATTTAGAATAAGGAGTATTATATCTAATCTAACATATATGCCTATCTATAAATAGAACTTACTACAGTTCTGATAAATATCGTTCTACTTACCCAAAAAAACACTCTTGAGTTAAATGTATTCCACTCAGCTCTCCACACAACATGCATTGCCTTTAAAATCAATTTGACTTGAGTGGAAATCTCTTTTGAACGAAGAAGGCGAGCTCAGTTAAGTTTTAGATTTGTTACTTTTGCCGAGAATTGTAAAATTTAGTTTTTAGGTTTCAAGCCATACAGAATCTACTACAGTCTCTACAGACATTGCAAAAGTTTCCCAACAACAACATCAATCGAAGCCTCACAATCCAATAATAATTCAAATCCATTTCTTAATTTCCAATCCATTGTAATCAACTACGAACAACAACAACAACAGCCACAATGGATTCCGATGGCAATTTGGATGATGAGCCAGTGGGTCCCAAGCCGGGTCCACTCACCACAGGCTTCTCCGAGATCATACAGGAGCAGGAGGTAGTCTCTAGCAGCCAGCTACTAGCCTGTCCCAACTGCAGTCGCACCTTCAATACGAATGCACTGCGCAAACACGTCGTCGTCTGCGAGAAGATGCTGAAGAAGCGCAAGGTCTTCGACTCGTCGCGTCAGCGCCGTGAGGGCACATCCCTGTCCACCTATGTGCTGCCCAAGAATTTCGGGCTGCCCAATGCAGAGAAGGCGCCGGGCGTACACACACCGCCCTCAGCCAGCCGCGAGGCGTCCACCGTATCGAGCAGCGGAGTGCCGAATGAGGTAAGCAACCGAAAGACGGTGCTCCATATTCCATATTCCATATTCCACTATTTATTCTATACTCTATATTCTACATTCCATATTCTATATTTGCAGGCCTCGCCACTATCGATACGCCGTAAGAGCAAGACGGATATGACGCGCGCTTCCCTGCGCAAAGGAGCCGGCGCCACTGCAGCTACCGTTGGTGTTGCTGCTGCCGGTCCTGCTAATGCCGAGCCTCAGGCAACATCAGCGGCATCTGCAACCGCTCCGCCAACATTGAGCCGTGATCGTACACGTGCCTCAGACCGTTCCATTACCAGGCGCATCAAGGACACCGCCACGGAGCACTGTCCGCACTGTGAGCGCAACTTTAATATCAAGGCTTTCGATCGTCATGTGGAGTGGTGCAAGGAGAAGGCCATTCAGGCGAACATCAAATCCAACAATACCGCGGAGACAAACAAGGCCAAGGAGCGCATGGAGGCACGCAAGAAGTATCGTCCCCCCAATCTCAAGTAAGTGAACTTTTCTACCTCACCTTTGCAACTCAGTGGCTTTGCTTTATCTTTCATGTTATTCCTATTACATATTTATCAATTGTATTGTTTCAAATCTTTCAAATTTTTCCCTTTGCTCTCCCCAGAACCAAGCGCTCTATCAATCGGGACAAGTACTCGGGTGCCCAGGAGGAGCACTTCGAGCCAGAGCCAGTTGCCACGAAGCAGAATTTAATGACACTCTCCACGATGACGTCGTCCGTACAAAGTGATAAGTGAGTATTATTTATTCTTAGTGTAAATCATTTGATTCGTAGACTAGCTAAACCAATCTGATTGGCCCATCTGGCGTTGCTATGGTTGTCGTTGATTGATTGACTAATTCTGCAGTAATGTTGTGCCCAGTAGACACCGTCGCGTAGTATTTGCTCACAAAGTATTCGTAGGACATGATCTTCTTCGATATCATCCATTCATCCATTGACCCCACTCCACACCCAACATCAACTTAGCTCACAAAGAAATGCACCGCAGCAACGTCCAGGAACGCCACAAGGATTCGATGCACCCAAGGGGAAAGCATCGATGGGCCAGAGCAAAGCAGGAGCACGCATGCTCACCGAGGAATCGTCGAGCGTTGTCTACCACGAGCATGGAAGACGCAAACTGCAGTACGATGCTTGCCAGGAGATCGATGAGGCCGTGGAGCGCCTGCGTCATCCATCCTACGAGCATCTGGCCCAATTGGATTGCGTAGAGGCGGCGCACCTGCAGCCAGCCCGATCCCATCGTCGACCCTCGCCCCATCGTTCGAAGTTCGACTCTACCGAGTGCATGGCCGGGCAACCCCAAGTCACGATGACTTTCGAGGAGCTCAACGGGTTGATCAAATGCAAAGGTAGGCTCGGTAACAATTGCAGACCCAGCCTAACTGAGCCAGTGGAATCGGCATCAAGTTATCTATTTTTCTTTTTTTTTTTTTTTTGTGTAATGCTCCACTTACCACTCCGTCCGTCCCAGAGCCATAAGGTTCATAGGGTTCTGCAGGCCCCATGGCGTGCCTAAACTTAATTAACTTCAAATGATTTCATAATTAGTTTCCTAAGCTGCGGAACAATTTGATGGTTCGTAATTAATGCGCAGCGTATTTAAGCACTTAGACGATCAGCCAACCATAGAGCAGCATTAGTTGCACTCCATAGGAACCCAGAGAGTTGGAAATAGTTCACAGAGTGGAGAATAGCTAGAATATAATTGATGACTAGCATTAGTATAACTGTAGCAGAAATGGATAATACTCAGATGTGGGAGAGATCTAACTGGGCTTTTGCAAAGTAAAAACAAATTAAGTTTAGGTATTGAAGAATAGGAAAAGAGAAAATTCATTTGGTTGGGAGACTTAGGGAGATTTACCAGAAAGTCCGATACATACATTCACTTAGATATCTGTCTTATGAATCCCAAACTTTTAATACGCACGCTGCACCACCACCACCACACGCAGGTGCCACAAACATTTGCAACATTCAAATGGATATTGAGGAGCAGGTGGCGCCCAAGGTGCGCACATCCACATCGCTGGTGCGTCAGGCGCGTCGCCGCATACGCACCCAGGAGAACCCCAATATTCCTCTGCGCCAGCTGGAGCCACCGACCGAATTCATGGATCAACATCATCATCAACGTCAGCGCTCGTCGCACTCCCCAGCCTCGTTCCGTCGCATTTCCAATGATCGCTACTCGGGGTCCGAGAGCGAGGATGCTTTGCCGCATGCTGAAATACAGATTAAGATGGAGACGAGCACCATCCAAAGCCTGAGTCGACCGCGGAAGCGCATTCAGCTGCCGGTCATCATAAATAGCTCGGAGCCAATGCGCGCTCTGCCTCTGCCTCTGCCACCGGCCAAGCAGAAGCTAGAGGCCAAGGCCGACAATTTTCTGCCGGCGATCGATATGAAGGGCGAGGTGCAGGCGGAGATGAAGTCTGATGAGGAAGCTGAACAGGATTACGATGAGGAGGACATAGAAGTTGGCAAGCTGCTTAGCAAGGCCAAGCTACTCGAAGGCCAATACGATGACGATATCGATGACTCTGTCTACGGCGAGGTGGAGCCGCCCGCGGCGCCAGCCAGCGTCAAGAAGCGCGCGACACCAAGCAATGTTAGCCGCCGTCTGGTAGTGCTGGAGCAGGACGAGGAAGGCACCATGTACATCAAGGCACCGCGCTCTCCAACCAATAGCAAGAAATCGGCCAAAGCGCCCATCAAGAGGTTTGTTCCTTAATGCCCCTCCCCACAGACGACAGCCAGGCGACGCACAGACTGGGCGGGTTAATCAGATCTCTAGGATCATAACCGCTTAATTGTTCCGATTGCTCTATTCTATAATTCTTTTTCTTCTAAACAGCGGCCTCAATCCGTCGACTAGCGACAAGTACGATCCGTTTCTGTCCGCCAAGCGCCAGCTGGAGGAGCTCTGCTCGCCCAGCACACCACCCGACAACGAACCACTGGTCCACACAACAGCCACACCAGCACCCACACCGACAGCCACACCCACAGCGATCATGTCCACCTCGCTGACTAGCTCGCTGGGCAAAGCGACGACGACATCCACGACGGCGCCAAAAGGCACGCCCACATCCAACTTTCGACGCACTTCGTCCCTGCGCGGACCTCGTCGCACACCATTGCTGCCCAGTCGTCCGCTCTTTGCCACCAACTATCGGCCCACCATTCAGCGCGGCCTCTCCGACGAGGGTCCCATCTCGAGCAACTTCCTCAAGCCGGAGGAGTACGACGAGATGCCCGTGCGTGCTGCGTGCGGCAATGATTTCCATAGTCCGCGCGTTGTGCGCCGCGATACGAGCAACTCGAATCGCAAGCAGCAAATGAAACTGCCTCTTGGTGGCGACACTGAACCGGACAGCACTTCCACGTCCAAGCAGCAGCAGCAGCAGCAAGCGACGCCGGCACGTAACGTGGCCAAGACGGACTCCTTAGCCGTGTTCCTCAAGTACGAGCACGAGCTGGAGCAGCTGAATGCGAAGGCTGCGGAGGTGGCTGCCAATAGCAAAGAGCTGAGCAGCAAGGAGCTCAAAGACAAGAGCAACAATCTGAGCAAGCAGAACTCGGCCAAGAGTCTAAATGCCAACTCAAGCAGCGGGCAGCTGCCGCCGCTAACGACGCCCATTTGTCCGCCAGTGGCCAAGGAGAACAACGAGAATGTGGCGCATAACTTTGCCACGCCGCTGCGCCTGGACCCCATCGTCAAGCCGCCACAGAATCTGATCAACAACAGCAACAACAACAACAATAACAACAATGGTGGTGGCAATGCGGCACCGTCGCCCATCAAGCTGGAGAGCATCTTTGGCAACAATCGAATGGCCGATTACATAGATCCCAAGCTGATCAATCCTTGCGATAATCTCTTGGTGCAGCAGTCATCCACTGGCTCCTCCGACGCCAGCTCCACGCCACAGCAGCTATCGCAGAGTCGCAGCAGCTCGCAGTCAACCATAACGATGGGACAGGAGCAGCGCCGTCATTCCGGCGAGGCGCGTAATCTGCTAAAGCGTAAGATGCGCCTCGGACGCAATCAGTTTTTGTACGATGCTTCGCCAGAGGAGGCGTACATCTCGTCCGGCAGCTGCGCTGATGATGAGGCCAATCGCTCATCGCTGGAGTTTGACGAGCAATGCTGGCAGCAGCAGCAGAAGCAGCTGCTCTCCAATCCACTCAAGGCAATGCCACTGACGCTGCCCAATATGCCTGTGCTGCCCACGTTTGATGACTTCGACTTTGAGGAATTTCTGTCATCATTCGAGAACGAGAATGATGACGAGCAATTTCCGCTGTTCCGCGACTGTCGCGAATTCCTGCTGAATCGCACGACGAGCCGACACCGCTCGTTCCAGAAAGCGACTTCAACACCACAGCCACAGCCACAGCCACAACCACAACCACAGCCACAATCCCGTACACAGACACAACCACCGACGCCGACAGCCACACAAAGACCAGCGACGACCTCTGGCATTGGGTCTCAGTTTATAACGCCACCTAAGACCCACTACTATACTTCCAGCACTAAAGAGCCTCATGCCCACAGGTCCAATTCGAATACATCAATTGGCAACGAA